TGCACAGGAAGTGCATCGATGCACCCTTAAAAATGGAAACATCGAATGCAATTAATGCATCGATGCATAAGGAGTGCATCGATGCATATGTTAAGGGATGCATCGATACACTGTAGAATGCATCGATGCACTTCAAGGGAAATAGAATTATACCTTTCTTTTGGTCTAAGAAATGATAGATTAGTGTATATCAATTGGATACTAATATGTATTAATGTATGATTATATAGATATCGAGCACGAACAAGTCCCGGAGCGATTATCAAGTTATGATTCGATCGCAAGAGAGGAAATTATAAAAATGGATTGAAACTTAGTGAGGCCAAGGTGAGTGCGTATTATTTTATATATGATGTTTAATGGGAAATAAGACTTGTGACAAGTCTAATTTCTATAGTATTGTGCATGAAGCATGAATATGAATATGTGGTTGTTATGAGTGTCTGAGTTATATGTTATGGTATGTGTTGATATGTTATTGTATATGTATTTCATGGTTGATGTGAATATATGCTATGTTATGATGATATGATAAGAAATTATATGAATATAAAAGAGAAGTTATGTGATAAGATTTTTGAGATATATAGAAATGAAATATAAGATTACGCGAATACATGATATGGGATAAATTAGGTAATAATATGGGAATATGGTAAAAAGCGAGTTTAGAAGAAATGATGGGAATGAAGTACTCAAGTGTAAAGGTTATATAAACAATAAGAATGTGAGTTGGGTAAGTGAATAGTGGTATGAACATTTATGTGAAATAGTAAAATAGAATTATATCATTGAATGAGAATTGAAACAAGATAGATAATATTGACCTATATGATGATATGAGACTTGAACATAAGTGATAATAGGAACATATAAGATGAGTTATATGGGAAAGATACACTTGCTTAAATAAAATTATAATATATGGGTTGTATGATGGAAATCTACGTAGTCATATTAGAAAGTTATAGGTACTATATGAATTGAATTAGGTAAATAGATTAGATTAGTATATAAATGAAATAATAGAAGTGACAGATGTGATATGATCTAGGTGAATATCATAGAATGAGGTATAAGCTATATGATATGAGATAAGTTATTTTATACATATATGATATAAGCTATTAATCAGGACATATGAGATTATGAGAAGGAGAATATAAATGATGTGAATACAAGTATAGAATAAATGATGTGAATACAAGTATAGAAAAAATGATATATATATATATATAGGAAGATGAATTATATGAATACACATTTAGATGATGAAATGATGGATTATACGAACATGTGAATATCTATATATATATATATAGGATAAGACATAAAAGTAAGATATAAGCAATGTGACAAGAAATGTTAAATAGTATAAAAAGTGAATATGAGCTACGTGATATGTGAAAGTGACTTACGTATTTATACGTATATGTGATTCAACTTATGTGACATAATCTACGTGCTATGTGAAAGTGAACTACGTGTTTATATGAAAATGTGAAATGACGTAAATGATGATGCCCATGTTATGTGTCATGAGAGCTAGGGTATAGTTGGCATGCCAAGAGTCGAGGGTCTACGTGGTCCTTCGGGATATATATATATATTCTTTGGAACATGTGTGAGGTCTTTTGAGACACATACTTGATCCTTGGCATATGTATATGATTCTTAAGGAATGATATGTGGTCCTTAGGGACAATCTTATATGGCACTTTGGTGCATTTCTACGCGACACTACGGTACAATTCTACGTGGCACTTTGGTGCATTTATACGAGTTGTGGTGACAACATTAGTGCACAACCTCTATAGGCTTATATATCTATAGTTCTCACATGTGTACATGGGCTAATAAGAAAAACAACAAATATATTACCTGTGATTTGTATGCTTTTGTGATATGAATAGTATTAGATGATTTATATGATGATATGTGGATTGTATGATTAAATGAGGCAAATGTTGGTTAAAATGCTAGGTATAAGAGGATATGTATTAAGTAATATAAACAATAATAATATTGATAATGAAATAAGGCTAATGATGGAAATGATGAGTGATGAATATATGTGTGTATATGTTTTTATATGTGTAATGATATATATTGCATATGTGTTATAGGGATTTGTTACATGAATAAGGGTATGAGTGATAGTAGTAATTGTTCATGCATGATTACAAGCTATAGTTATGTTTTATGTTTATTGCCTCACTAAGTCATCGACTTAGTGTGTGATTATTTCACACGTAGGTTACCGAAGTGAGAAGAGTAAAGAGCAATGTGGAGCAAGACAGGTCAGTTCTCCTTACCAAAGGTCAGATCAGAAGAAAGGTGAATAATATGTATTTTAATACATAAAGTTCTAGTTGGCATGTATTCAAAATAATATATTGTATAAGCTTTGAATAGTTCGATAAAGGTTTTGAATAAGTTATATGTAATAATAAATTTTAATTACTCACTATTTTATACAAGTAAAGGTTTTTGAAAAGTCAATGTGACACTTCGGACTCGGTTCCGGGTCGGATACGGGTTGAGGGTGTTACAGTCTAACTGTGTATTTGATAGAAAGTTGTCATTTATGCCAGTTAGATGAAAAGGCTAAGTGCCTTTGAGGCCTAACTGTGCAATTGACAAAAAAGTGTTAATTATGCTAGTTAGATGAACGGTTAAATACTGTTGAGTAAAAGAATAATGGCCTAACTGTGCAATTGGCAGAAAGGTGTCAATTATGCCAGTTAGATGAATAATTAAACACTGTTGAGTAAAAGAATAATGGACTATATGTGCATTTGACAGAAAAGTGTCAAATATTCAAGTTAAGTGAAAAGCTAAATACCTTTGGGTAAAAGAATAAAGAAATTATAATGTAATGTGATATGAATAGTATATAAGTGATATGAATAGATGATATATAATTATATATATAATGTACAACAATGCAATTACTCAGCCGGATGTGGTGTTTGATGTTAATCGGGTGTGTCAGTTCATGCAGGCTCCACTTAACATTCATTTTCAGGTTGTTAAAAGAGTTTTGTAGTATTTACAAGGCACGATTGACTTTGGGCTATGTTTTTCTCCTTCTTCCCGAATGACTTTGACTGCGTCTGTTGATACCAATTGGGGGTCGGACATTGATGATAGGCGATCGACCTTTGGATATTACGTTTATTTTTGTGGGAATTTAGTTTCGTGGAGTTCTCACAAGCAACAAGTTATTGCACACTCCACTGTCGCGGCCGAATATTGGAGTGTTGCTTGTGCTACGGCTGAATTGGTATGGCTTAAGTCCTTGTTAAGTGAGTTACATATAGTCCCGCATGAAAAGGCAACGCTGTGGTGTGATAATACGAGCGCAATAGTAGTGTGTGCTAACCTTGTCCTTTATTCAAAATTCAAGCATGTAGAACTGGATTTGTTCTTTGTTTGCGAGATGGTTGCTAAGGGACAGTTGAAAGTGCGTGAAGTTCCAACTATTAAACAAGTTGTTGATGTGCTGACCAAACCTTTGTCAACACCGTCATTTTTCAAGCACACACAGAAGTTGTTAGTTGTACAGCTCAAGAATAAGAATGTTGAAGGTTCTCTTTGAGAATGAGTAATAAGGGGGTGTTAAGGAATAAGTTTTCATACATTGGATTACATGCATTGTTGTTGAAGGTTCTCCTTGAGGTTGAATAGTAAGAGGAATGTTAAGAAATATGTTTTCATGCATTGCATGCCTTGACATGTTTGACATGTTTATGTTAAGAATCAGTTGCAAGGTTGTTAAGGTTATTACAGTTGGCTCTCTAATAGTCTTAGCAAAAAGTTTAGTATAAATACATGCCTTTTTAATCTTGATAATTCATATAATGATTTTACATGTTTCTAGAAATGATTATCTTCTTCTCCCTTTAATATTGTTTCTCTTTAGATAGCTGTTTCACTATCTTAACAGTTAGCTATTTGATCATGGAAAATAATTTGATATATGTTGTACATAATCTTGAAATTGAATCTCTCTAAAATGACAAAATATATAAAACATGTCCTCTTTTTCCATAAGGGTTGGTTTTGCAGTATTGGTTTTGGCGTTGGTTTTAGCAACGCTTTTGGCGGTGTTTTGTTTTGTTTTTTGCCACAAGAGTTTTTAGCGGCACTTAAAAACACCGCTATATGACTGAAAAATACCGCTAAAAACCTATTTTGTTGTAGTGAATTAGTATAGATGTTATACTATAACATGATTGAAGATATTATATCATTCTTTTAATTAATTTTATTTACAAGATCTCCTTCACCCTTGAGAAACGAGTTGAAAACTCTTGTGCATTTACTTTTTTGTTCTCTATTACTAGGTTGTTCTATAAAAATAGAACAAAGGTTTAATATTTTTGTGTATAAATCTTCTTAGTCTTTGTCCTTTCATTTTTATTTTCCAATAACAGAGGTAGAAATGATGACTTGCTCAATATCACTTTTTTATAATAAATATTAGGAACGTTTTAGTCTTACGACTAATAAAAGCCTAAAGGGTCACACTTTAGGATTGAACCAAGTATAACCTAAACACAATTGATATTTAGTTTCCAAATGAACTAAATTACGCATTAAATTAATTTAATTTAACATGATAATTATATATTAAATAAATTATATGTAGGGTTTTTTTAATAATATTATATAGAGAAATTTAGTATGCACAAATAAAAATATATATATGGATTTGATTCATATAAATAATATTATGTGAAGAAAAGATATTGATTGGGCCATTTGCGAAAAAAGATACTAATTGGGCCAGTCGTGCTATATATAGTATTATAATAAAATGCAAACTCTACAGGGTTCAAAAAAGGCAAGGAATCTAGTATTAATTATTATTTATCAGTCATTATCCAACCCATGTCCAACACGTTCCTCTGACCTACGCAAGAAAAACTAAGGGCATAAAGGTTTAAACAGGTTTCATTAAACAAAGAGAAAAAACGCACAAACCAAGATTTTTCCTTTTATTTTTGTGTTTCTCTTTTCACATCGAAACAACTGTGAATGATCTCCTTTGTACTAGTATCGTTATAGTAAAGAATGGAAGATCCTATGAGTTTGGTTTTCCCGGAGCAAAGCAGTGATTCATTGAGTTCGGTATTCGCCATGATCCATCATCATCCTCGTCCACATCAATCCGCCCAATCCACTGATTCGGCCAGTTCGGTTCAAGCCATGATTGAAGGCAATCATTATCCTCTGAATCAAACCCACCTTAATTCCGCTCAGTCCCCTTCAAAACAACCCAGATATTCACCGGTTTTCGATGCTCCCGACAAAGACCTGATCAGCAGTTTACCAGATTCCCTCCTGCAGGAACTCCTTTGTTTTTTACCCATTGAAGATGCTATCAAAACCTGCTTTTTGTCTCGGAGATGGAGGTCTCTTTGGACGCAAATGCCAACGCTTTTTTTTACTCGTGAACACTTTGCTGTCAAGCACGCTAAACGTGCCAAGTTTGTTAAAGAAACGCTGCGGCGCTTCACTGGTCCCAAGATTAAAAATTTCCTTATCAATTTCAAATTCGATGATTCCATGGATGCTTCCCTTGAGGATTGGGTTCTTTTCGCTACAACACACCATGTCGAAAAGCTGTCTTTGATTTTTGATGGGGGGTTTCTCTATGCTCCATTCGCCGACTCTAAACCTTACAGCTTGCCTCAGTTCCTGTACCTGAGTTCATCCCTGAAAGATTTAATTTTAAGACAATGTGTTGTTTCACCTACTGACCAAGTTTCTTGGCCAAGCCTTAAGGTTTTATCCATCAACTATTCTAGATTGACCACTGAAGCAATTGAAAACATTCTATCAGGCAGTCCCAATTTGCAGAAATTGAAATTGCATAACTGTGGAGGGGTTAATCGAATCTGTTCAATGAGTCTGGAAGTTCTAGAGGTGGATGCAGTCTATGAGCCTCGTGAGAAAAACGAGTCAGTGACAGAGATTTCATGCCCAAATCTCCAGTCATTGAGCCTATCAGGGTATATGTACAAAAGAACATTTAGAGTGATGCATGTTTCGTCTTTGTCAAACGCTAATCTGAGTTTTGTGATGACAATTGACAAAAAAGACAAGTATGATTGTGCAAAGCATCGATCCATCTTGAGGGACCTCCTAGAAAACCTTTGCCATGTTGAGAAATTGACCATGGGGACTTGGTGCCTTCAGGCAGGTTCACTAGCTCATTTTTTCTCTGTATATGCATGCTGTACATATTCAAATGATTTTAACTATATATCAGTATCTATATATCTTTAAGACTTGAAAGTCCAAAGTGATCCACAAAGGCATTATTGAACATTGTTACTATTCACTCTTATTTTGTGCTGAGGCCATGTTGCTTTTCCAAATTGAAGTGTCAACAATCAACATATTTATTTTCTACTTGCTCTATTTACATTTCTAACGATGTTTTCTTTCTTTTGTCTTCTTGTAAAAGGTCTTATCTATATGGGAAATAAAGGGCATATCCTCACCATTATCCAAACGCCATTGTTTGGTGCTGGACACTGAGATATGTGTATGGGATATTCCCGGGATTGTGAGTCTGCTTCGAAGTTCACCATATCTGAAGAAACTAGTAATAAATTTGTATTACTGCGACAACTCTAAGGTAAGATCATTGCTTCTTTTTCTTTGGATATATTAGAAATGCTGCATATTTGAACTATGGGAAATCAATGAATATTGAATAGTGATTGATGTCTGATAATTTTGGTGTTTTTTGGATTTGACTACCGATTACCGTTGGGAGGAGGGTAACTAGCATACAAGTCAAGCAATAATGCACTTTAACACCATCCACCCTAACAAAACTAAAATGAAGGCTTAGTTTTTTTCAACACTACAAGTTCAGATTTCATATGTTACATTCACAAATTTCTTCATTCAATGCAAGGTTTAAGACAAAAACAAGAAATGGCAAAACTTGAAATCTTTCATGTTGCCATTTCCAACAATTTGAGAACTTTTTTTAATATGATTTTGAGCTTCAAAAGACATCAGATATTTTTTATTCCATTTAAACTAAACTTGCAAGCTTTGTCATTTATAAAGAACACTCTCATATCATGCTAAGTTCCCTGTCCTGTTTCCTTATAATTTCTGCTGACGTCTTTCTATTTGTTCTCTTGTTTCTGTTTTCTGGTTTATATACATTATACAGATACACATATTTCCTTTGAGAAGTACATTATTTTATTTCTTTTCAAGTTTCAAGGACTATGAAATATGCATAATAGGTAGAGTACAGTTGGGCCAACTTCATAATGAAAAAAAAAGAAATAGAAAAAGCCCACTTAAAGTGGGTTTACAACCTAACAATTAACAGAAGATTACATGTTTTTGGGAATTCAGATTATGACTGATGAAAGAAATACATCACCTAACATGATTGATGTCTTGCTTGGACTTCTCTAATTATTAAGGCATGATGTGTACTTTTGTCTGTCTACTTGCAGTTTGAGTTTGATCAGAGTTTTTTGGACTTTTATGAATTTGATGGAGAGGAATTCCTGGATTCAACTAACTGGATTTTCAAGTGTTTTCTGCAAAGCCTGGAGGATATTGAGCTAACTGGCTTCCAACAGAATTTTTCAGGGTCCCAGTTGTTAGTAAAGTTTATGAAATTTCTGCTCAGAAGCGGAAAAGTGCTCAAGAAGGTAGCTATCTATGAACAGAGTGGCGCTCTTCATAAATCCTGGAAATTTTCTAGACGAAAGATGAATATGGAATCGGAAAATGCTAAGAAAAACCAGATCATATCGACCCTCTCAAGTTGCATTCCCTTTAATGTAGTATCCGAGTAGATAGGACTTTCAAGTTCCTTTTTGTGAATCCGGAGCTTATCACAGTTGGTTCTTTTGATAGGTGATGTTTAGTAGATTCGAAATTCAAATATGTATCTGCAATCTCTTCACCTGTTACTAGTCAGACCATTTCTCCATCATAGCAAGAAAAGAAGAAAAAGCTTTTCTTTTTCTTCCAAAGTAAATTACAGATAGGACTGCATTTTCTTTGAAGAAATAGTTGTTGTTTAGCTTGAACTGTTGAGTTAGAACTTATAAAGTATATTAGCTTTTACGGCTAAAACATTTCTTTCAGTATTTGTTGGACAAAACAGCAAATGTTGAACCTTGGCAATGTGAAATTTGCTTTTTAATTACAAGGAATATGTTTCGATTAGAAACACAAGTATTTGTTTTTAGAAATTGGTTAAAGAAACCAAAGGAGGTAGATAAACTCTGAACTGGGAAGAGACAGGCACTGAGAAACCAGGCAGCAACTAGCCTGCCCTGTGTAGTATTGTTAAAATTATATGTTATGCTGTGACACGTTTGATCGGAGGCTTATGCGGCTTAACAAGTAATTTATTATTAATCAGTAAAGTGTCCGATAGAAGCTTCAAAATTGAATGAGGCAGGTAATCTTTTGTGTTATCCTCTCATGACTGTTGCTTGTATTTTTTTTCTCCGTCGGTATCTTGAAATTGAAAAAGGAAGTTGAATAATTGTCATAAAAAGATTAGCAATTTGATTATATTATTAGTTTCTAGTAGTTTTTATTTTCCCGTTTGTAAACAAAAAAGACTTACTGCGGAATTTGGGCATATGCTAAAGACAAAAAGAAAATATACCGGCTAATATTTTCTTGTACCTAAGTCGAGAAGTTTTACGTGCGACAACTTTAATATACACCTAAGGAAATGCGTTATAGGTTTTGTTATTTTTTTAAATAAAACCGATAAGAAATTACTTAAAATATTATTATTTATACCTAAAACATTAATGTTTTTAACATTTCCGGTAAAGTGTTCAATAATAACAAAATCGGTAAAAAAATAATGTTTTAGGTAACGTTTTACCGAATATGATAACAAAACTAATAAAGGGCCTAATAATAACAAAATCGGTAGTATATTCTGGCCTCAGGACAAGTTATTTAATGGATAAATATTTAAACTTAAAAGGTAGAGTGTAGAGAATGATGAAACAAATTTATCGGTATCTATTATGATTATAAAAGATATAGAAGAATGACATTTTTCTTAGCGATGACTGAAAATAAATGAAAAATCCTAATTTTAATCAGACGGGATAAAGCTACTGCTTTGAATTGTTTCGAATTTAGTGATCTAATACTTTAATTGACCTCCAAATCAAAGTATGATGTTTACATTGAAATGTTTTCAAGTTGAGTGTTAAAAATCAATTTAGAATTAAAGTTTAGTGGCATCTTATTAAAAGTTTCCTTTTCTGTATTATATTGACGTGGGCTTTTCCTATTGGACTACACAAAGATTCTATTTTATTTGATGTAAAGTGGAATTCATAAAGTTCTTTCCAAGGGAAAGGAAAGGAAGCAAAATCCTCATCGAATTTTCTGGCCATTATAAATTAGCGGGAGTGCAGGCCTCCATAAACTGAACTCACCATCATTGGCAATTCCTGCTTTGGCCGCCGCCAATCAACTGTTCAATTTTCTATTGTAAGCTTTTCTTCCAGATATTCTTTTGCTGTTTTTATTTTTCTTTTAATATTTTGTCAATATTTACAAAACATAGATCCTAGTAATATTGTTTTGTTTAGTTTCAATTACATTTTTTTCCTTTTAATTTGCAGCAATTAGTTAGTGCTTCCTTCGCTTTTGGCGGCAGTGTTTCGAGATTAATTTTTGGTTGCTGAAGCATCGATGGCCAAAACTTTGAAAAAGTTGGTTTCATGTGTTATACTTGATCCAGACGGTACACTTCTTAACACCGGTAAGCTTTCGTTCTTCGTATTACTTTGAAATTTTGTTCTTTATCTTGCTTCTTTTACAGTTAGAAGCCTGTTATTGGTTCTGCTTTGATAGTGGATCCAATTTTTAAAAGATTTGATATTGCTTTCTTGATTTTTTTCAAAGGAATTAGATTATTGATTTATAGAGTAACAATGGGATGGAAGAGAAGCACAAAAAATAATAGGAAAAACACCATTGGAAGCTGCTGCAGCTGTTGTTGAAGAATATGGACTTCCTTGTGGGAAGAATGAATTTCTTTCTGAACTCTATCCAGTATTCTCTGCCCAGTAAGTCAAGTTTTATGTTATTGTTGTTAGATGTTGAAGCAACTGGAATTATCACAATGCTAAGGCTCTTATTTACGCACTTTGTAATTGTAGGTTATGCAACATTAAACCTCTTCCAGGTGCCAATCGGCTACTTAAACATTTAAGCGGTCATGGTGTGCCTATGGCTTTAGCTTCAAACTCTTCAAGGGGAAATATAGAATCTAAAATTTCTTATCACCAAGGTTTTCTTCGCATGAACTTCTATGAATCTCAAATCTCTTATTAGAGATGTCAACTAATCCTTTTCTTTGCAGGTTGGAGAGATTTTTTCTGTCATTGTTGGTGGTGATGAAGTGACATCAGGGAAGCCTAGTCCTGAAATGTGAGTGGCATCAGTATATGGTCTGATATTCTGTTAAATATATTTTATCTAATTTGAATATAAAATTCTAACTTCTTTTTAACTTTGTCCAAGTCTAAAACTCTTGATTTCCTATTAAAGATTCTTGGAAGCTGCTAAAAGGCTAAATAGAGAACCTTCAAGCTGCCTAGTCATTGAAGATTCAATGTAAGTGACCTCTGCTTTTATTTAAGTATCCTGTTTAATATGTTTTCATTTGATAATGCACAATTTGTTACATTTCCTCTTTAGTAACAACTGAGTTCAATTTTTTTACCCAGATTATGCTCTGAAGATATTATTATGTTTCTTGAAACAATTCCTCAACCTTTTATGTACTAATTGTTCCTTGAAATAATTCATCTGGCTACTTGCAGAAGTATCAAAATATTCAAGATTACAGCTTCTTCTTCTTTTCGTACGAGAAGTTATAACTGTAATTAGTTTATGTGGAGGACTTGGTGAAATGAGAAAGACAGACAAAATTAACGCTAGCCCTCTTATGTCTCTACTAAATTTGGTAATAAGGGACTTTTGAGCTAGCCTTCAGCATTGCCAGAATGCTTTCCTGACATATGATCTTACAATGTTTAGATATTTTGTTGTTTTTGTGGATTAGCATAGATTTTTTAAATCATTACTCAATTACTTGACAGATTTTTTTCTGATACTGGGAATTGGCTATGTCAGACCAGGTGTTACTGCTGGTAAGGTTGCTGGAATGGAAGTGGTTGCTGTGTCATCTGTTCCAAAACAAACAGACCTTTACACCCCCGTAGCAGATGAAGTGATAAACTCTCTGCTGGATTTGCAACCTGAAAAGTGGGGCCTACCTCCATTTCCAGATTGTAAACCTCTGGACACCATCTCTTCTTAATGTGATTAGTAACCTTGACTTAGTAAAACTATGTTCATAAGGTATATGATGATCTGATTGCAGGGATAGAGGGAACGTTGCCTACAGAACCTTGGTATATTGGCGGTCCCGTCATTAAAGGATTTGGGCGTGGCTCAAAAGTGCTTGGAATCCCTACAGGTATGTAATACGCTGTTCTTCTTTGTTAAGCTAGTATTTATTTTGAAATTGTCTAGGCCTTTGAATATTTATTAGGTAAGAATCTTTGAGCTATTTTGCTTTGATGTAACATCAAGAGTGTTAGAAGTTTATTTATATTTCATTACTTATTTCTTCTGTTTTGCTTGATATCCTGTTTTCTCTCATTTCCTATTTTCAGCCAATTTGTCAACGGAGGATCATTTGAGTCTCCTTTCAGAGCATCCTTCAGGGGTATATTTTGGTTGGGCTGGATTATCTACAAGAGGAGTTTATAAAATGGTCATGAGTGTTGGTTGGAACCCATGTTTCAACAACACTGAAAAGACTATAGTGAGTGCAATGATAACTTTGTTGATAACTGATGCAAGACTTAACAATGATATATAGTGGTTTGTAACACTTTATTTACGAAACATGATTCATGCTGCAGGAGCCATGGTTACTTCATGAATTTAATGAGGATTTCTATGGAGAGGAATTACGTCTTCTCATAGTTGGCTATATACGACCCGAGGTAATCATTCAAATTAATTAGCATTCTTTCGCTGTTTTTTCCCTCCCCGGTTGTACAGCTGTGCTTTTTGCTAGCGATTTTTTCATGCTAAACAGGTTAATTTCTCATCCCTTGAAAGCCTTATAGCGAAGATTCACGAGGACAGAAGAATCGCAGAGAAAGCTCTTGATCTGCCATTATACTCAAAGCACAAGGATGATCCGTATCTAAATAGTTCTTTGCACAATGAAAGCAACCATGCATGATCTACCTGATTTTCAGGTTTCATTTGGAAAGAAACTTGTGAAATTAGTTTTGCCTTCTTTCATGACACAGGTCAATCCTTACGAGCACATTGGCCGTCTGTTGTCATCTTGTCATATGAAAATGTCATTTCCTTGTATTTTTATATATTTCATTTTCTTCTTCATTATTCATGTCTTCATATCAATGGAAAATCTAAATATTCTACTCTAAGTAATAATCTTAAAAATTAAATTAACCTTTTTACCTATGTGATCTTATATGTGTATGTCATTTTATTTACACCCATATAAACCTTTAATTTTTAAATGTTATTTATGCATGTCTCAACTGTTTGTATGGGTTGTTGTTCAGATTATTCTGAATCTATAATGGGTTTGGATTACAGTTTGATTGCCACATCTTTCTTTTGCGGTTCCTTTATTCAACCCCACGTTTCTCTGAAGATAAGAGTGTCCTTCATGTTCAAAATTTTCACGGCCATTTTCTCTTAACATAGATTTAGATAACCTACAGTCATCAAAATCCTTGGTAACCGAGCAATGGGCACTGTCTTCCTCGCCATAACATCGCCATTGTCCCTACCAATCGTTCCAAGTTTGCACTCAAAGTGATCCAAAGGTCTAACCATGGCGGACACCGTTGGGCTCATCGTTAAATTGGGTTCTTAACAAGGCTTCAACACCCATTTCTGCCTCGTCTTTTGGGTTTGAGTTCAGGCTTTTTTTTGGCCCAATAGGGTGTTTAGAATAAAAAATTAGGGTTCTATCTATCCTCAACTTTTAATTGGGGATCTACGGCATTTACTACAATATTGGGTGAACTTGTCACCTCGAGGTGACGAGTTCCTTGAATATGATTTTTTTAATGGACCCGGATGAGTGGGTATCATGTGAGTCATTAATTTATTGTTTTTAAGTAGACTCATCATGTCGAAGTGACTAGTACATCAAATTTTTTATTACTGTAAAAAATTAAATTAGAAATTAAAAAAAGGTAACTCGTCACCTTCGAATTCACAAAACTAGTCGGTCAACGGGTAGTTGTAACCCTTTTGTAGTCGTTGGTCAACGTTCTGTAGAGTCAGTCGTCACTTGAAATTCAGACTCCAACCACGTCATCTGTACCCAATAGCCATCGATGAACTCGGATGGTGGTAACTTTCCCAAAAATTCGTAGACCAACGTCTTGGGGTCGTAATTGTTTCACCTCACTACGGGGGTTCAATTCACAGGAACACTGAGTTGGTAAGCGACGTCTTCCAAACTAATCGTCGCTTCACCACTTGGGAAATGGAAAGTTTGTGTCATAGGCCGCCAATGCTTGATCAGAGCCTCAATCAATGTAGGATACACCTTGAAGCCACATGCAAATATGGCTAAAACGGATTAGATTGCTGAAGATATATCAACATCCGCTGACGCGGATCTCTCAAAGTCATCTTACACTGACGAATACTCTGTTCTTTTTTCGATCGGAGTTCGATTGAAAAAATATGGACGTTGTTGAGACGCAACATGCTTGATTGGGAAGCCATTTTCAAGACTTTCACATAAAGTAGGATTTTCATAATTTTTTGGATTTAGGGTTTGATAAAGAATCAAAACATCAAACCCCTATTTATAGCCTCAATTCCAACGACTATAATGCAAATATCTGGTGGTGCCAAGTGACTGTAGCAGCTGCCTGTTGGTTAACAGATACAAAACGATTCGTTTTTTTGAATTTGAATGAACTCGTCACCTCAAGGTGATGAGTTACCCTCTTTTTTTAATTTAATTTTTTCCAATAATTTTTTATGGATTCGACACCTCAAAGTGACGATTCCGTTTAAAAATAATAAATTAATGGCCCATATGAGACTCACTCATTCGGATCTATTAAAAAATTATATTTCAAGGAACTCGTCACCTCAAGATAATAAATTCGTAGTAGCAAAAGATGTAGATACTAAATTAAAAATTGAGGATGGATAAAACCCTAATTTTTTATTCTAAACGCCCTATTGGGCAAAAAAAAGCCTTGAGTTCATCGCTTGATAATTAATCGAAAATTTACAATTAGGTATGTGGCCTTACAATAACATTTTAAAACCCAATTTTTAGAGGATATTGATAATCTCTATAGCACGTGGATTAGAAGCAATGGTGTATTTCTTCTCTAACTCCATTAATTAGCAAATAGAGAAATCAATATTAAACCTATGCAGTGAATGAAAATTTTAAATTTATGAATAGAACCTGAAATTCCTTCTTATGTCAAAATAAATAGAGATCAAATTGCAATCTTATGTATAGTACAGGGATTTTTATGATACTTTTACCTTAACAAGTCCTTACAAATTTTAATGTCAATAAAACGTCAAAAAGGGAAAATGGCATAACAAAAATGCAATAAAATTAAAGTTCAGGGGTTTATTGGAAAAAATTAGGAGAGGCAAAACGAAAAGAAAAGACCACACTCTCGATACAGAGTTCCTCTCTCTCAAAGCCTAATATTTTGGCGGCAATAATCGGATAAGAGGAGCTAGAAGAAGAGAATCAGCAAACAAACTCCCTGTTATGAATTAGGATGAAGAATTTAGGTTTCAGAAAAGAATATAAAGGAATTTAGGAGAAAATGATTTCATTCATTCATAAGAGATGATTCCAAAGGGAATCAGGTACAATTTTATATATTTACAAGTACCTAGCTGGCATGTACTGGAATCTAACAAATTAATTAACTAATGCTGACTCATGCAGGTCCAGAAACATTTGGGCATCCCACCAATTTACCACCCGAGGCCCACTATTCCCCAGGCCCGTGTTTTGCCTCAGCAGACCCAACTCCTACTCCAGCCTCCATGGTAATTTGCTCCCCAATCTTCTCATTTTCTAATTCCTCCTCTTTCAAAATCCCTAACTCCTCCCCGTTCAAAATCCCTAACTGAGGTAATTTCCTTCCAATTTCCCCTTTTTCCAGCCCTAATTCCTCTTCCATAATAACAATACCCCCTCCACCAGATGATCTTTTTCCCCAAGGATTGAAATCCGAAAATTGAGTCTTCAATACCGAATAATCTTCACACGTCGCTTCTACTGGTCCTATATTAGTCCATTAAATCAACAACTGGGTTACTGCCAGATTTTGGCGCTTAACCATCCGTTTATTCAACACAATCGCTGGGTAAACTTTCAACTGGCCATCATTCGTGATCTCTGGAGGATCTAATGAAGGTACTTGTCCTTTCCCAATTTTTCTTTTTAGAAAACTGACATGAAAAACATGATGTATTTTGGAATGCGATGATAATTGTAACTTGTACGCCACTGACCCGATTCATTGCTGTATTTTGTAGGGACTAAAATATCTCGTACCAAGCTTCAAATTTTTCCTTAAAGCCAAAGAGGTTTGCCGATAGGGTTGAAGTTTCAGGTAAGCCTCCTCCCCCACATTAAACTCTCTGTCTGTGCGATGTCTATTTGCCAACTGTTTCATGCGATTACTGGCTTTACTTAGCTACTTCTTTAACAATATGTTTAATTGATCACGTTGTTGTATCATGTCTTGAACTGCTCCCACTTTAGATTCTTCTGTCCAAGCTAAGTTAGGAGGTTTATAACCATAAAGTGCATCAAATGGGGGTCATACCCAAGGCAATATGGTAATTAGTATTATACCACCATTCTGCTTGAGGTAGCCATTTTAACATGAAGATGGTTTAAGCAAACACATACATCTAAGGTATTTTTCCAAGCACTGATTAAGCCTTTCTGTCTGTCCATCCGTTTCAGGATGATAGGCAGTACTGAAAAACGTGTTTGTCCCTAGTTGCTTTAATAATTCCTGCCAAAAGAGACTTGTAAAAGTCTTATCCCTATCTGAAATAGCAATCTTAGGAGGTCCATGTAGCTTGTAGACTTGCTCTAAATATAACTTAGCAACTTCCACCACTGTATATGGATGTGATAGTGGTAAAAAATGAGCATACTTGGTGAATTTGTCAATCACTACTAGTATACATGAATGCTTCATAGAAGATGGTAAGCCTTCTATGAAATCCATTGTAATGACTTCTCAAGCATTATTAGGAATAGGAATGGGCTGTAATAAACCTGGCATAGCAGTATGTTCTATCTTAGTCCTTTGACAAACATCACATTGTTGCACATATTGTTGAACCATAGTTTTTAGTCTAGGCCAGAAAAAATAGGACTTAACTCTTTGATAGGTAGCTTGTATACCTGAGTGGCCTCCTATTGATGAAGCATGGAGAGCTAGAATAATTTTCTCTCTAAGGTCTCCTTTACTGCCCACATAAGCTTTATTTTTGAAATACAAAACTCCCTTAACCAGCTTCCAATCTTCTATACTTCTTGGTTGTATAACCAAAATAGGAATATTTTCTTGTGCCATTATATCATCCCGGTAACTCTGTTCAATATCATGCATCCAAGTAGGAGTTATAACTGCTATCCCTATTTGGAAAAACTCACCAAAATCCTCTTGTTGTCTAGAAAGAGCATCTGCTACTTTATTGTGTTTTCCCTTTCTGTACTGTATTGTATAATCAAGTCCCAGCAGCTTAGTGAGTCCTTTCTTTTGAATAGCTTTAGTTAACTTCTGCTCAAGTAGATGTTTTAATGGTTCATGATCAGTCTTGTTAACAAAATGTCCATTTTCTAAATAATGTCTCTAATGAGAGACTGCCATTAAAATGGCCAAATATTCCTTTTCATAGATTGACAAATCTGTATGTTTTGGCCCTAGAGCCTTGCTTAAATAAGCTATAGGCATTCCTTCTTGAGAGATAACTGCTCCAATACCCTTTGAACTAGTATCTGTCTCCAAATTTTTTTCTCTCTCAAAATTTGGTGAAGCCAAAACTAGAGCTCTGCACATTACTTGCTTCAATTCTTCAAATGCTGTCATAGCTTCTGGACTCCAATAAAATCCTTTCTTTTTGAGCATATTAGTCAAGGGCTTACTCAACTCTCCATAACCTTTAATGAATTTTCTATAATAACCTGTCAAACCTAAGAAACCCCTCAAAGCTTTTAAATTCTTAGGCAAAGGCCATTGCTGCATAGCTTTGATCTTAGCAGGATTAGTAGCCACTCCCTGTGCTGAAATCAAATGCCCCAAATACTCCACTTGTGTTTGCCCAAAGAAACATTTGCTCTTCGTATCATGTAATTTATTTTCCAACAAAATGTTTAAAACCACCCTTAGATGTTGTTCATGTGCTGCCAAATTAGGACTGTAAACTAAAATATCATCAAAGAACACAAGGACAAATTTCCTTAAAGAAACACCAAATAAATCATTCATTAATGCTTGAAAAAGTAGCTGGAGCTTTAGTAAGCCCAAATGGCATTACCTTAAATTCATAGTGTCCTTGGTGAGTTCTAAAGGCAGTCTTGTGAATGTCTTCATCCCTGATCCTGATTTACCAATACCCTAACCTTAGATCAAATTTTGAGAAAAATGCAGCTCCATTCAATTCATCTAGCAAATCTTCTACTATAGGAATAGGAAACTTATTCTTGATGGTGATAGAATTAAGTTGTCTGTAGTCAACAAAAAACCTTCAAGTCACATCCTTCTTCTTGATTAATAGACAAGGAGAAGTAAAAGGGCTTTGACTAACTTGTATGATGGAAGCTGCTAGCATGTCAGTAATATGTTTTTCAACTTCATCCTTATGAGGATATGAAAACATGTAGGGTTTGAGATTCACAGGATGTGACCCTTGTTTTAGGATAATAACATGGTCATGTTTCCTTTTAGGAGGCATTCCTTTAGGATCTTCAAAAACTTCACTAAATTCTGCCAATAATTTCTGAAGTGGTTGAGGAGTTATGCTGTCAGCAACTTCAACACTTAACTAAAAAATTTCTCCAGTCATTTCAATATCCTTTAATGCCAACTTCTGAAATTTCTCTCTAGTGATGGATCTGACTAGAGGTAATTTTTGAGTTCCTCTAATAACAACATTCTGGCCATCTTTCATAAAGCTGATAGTTCTGTCCTTAAAATCCATTAAAATGGGACTAAATTCCTCCATTCAATCCACACCAAGTACCATGTCACTGCCTCCCAAAGATAGAACTCTAAAATCATGTTGGAATTCATATCCCTGCATCTTCCAGCTTACTTTATTACACTTAGCATTGCTGTAAAGCTTATCTCCATTAGCTACTGTGATTACTAATGGTTGAGTATTTACCAACTCCATTCCTTCTTTAGCCCACTTAGGAGTTACAAAGCTGTGAGTGCTTCCACTATCTATCAAAATGTTCAATGGTTTTCCCTTGATAAATCCTTGTATCCTCAAAGTAGTATGACTCACATTCCCTGTAATAGCATTAATGGATATTTCAAGAGCTTCATTTTCTACATCCTCCTTTTCCCCAGCTTCTTCCTCAGTCATACCTTTTTTAGCAGAATCTTCCTCTTCTTCCATGCAATTCAGTTGTCTGACCTTGCATTGATGTCCAGGGGTATACTTTTCCCCACATTTAAAGCACAAATTGTGTGTTCTCCTATACTTCACTAAACTTTGCTTAACATTACTATTTAGTGGACTGGTTTTAGTCACCAAACCAGTATTCAAGTTCTTTGGCTGAATATTATGAGATGTATAAGCAAAACTTATGTTATGAACTTTATACATTTTATTCTCAATCTCATTTGCTAACTCATAAAGTTTGGCTTGTCTATATGCCTCGGATAGAGTTTTAGGTTCCAACACCTTGACCTTGTGCTTCAGTTCTTATTTGAGACCACTAATAAAACTGAAAACAAAATAATCTTCCCCATATACATATTTTGTTATAGCAAATAGGGTTTTAACTCTTTAAAATTCTCTTGATACTCTTCCACACTTCCTTTTTGCATTAACTTATTAAATTCTTCAATAATTTCTGAATAATTTTTATCACCAAACCTATGGCACAAATCAGCCTCAAATTCATGCCAAGTAGCTCTATGCTTCTGCATAATGTAACCATCAAACCAGACCTCATCATTCCCTAAATACATAGCAGTTATTTCCAGTTTCTGTTCTTCAGGTATTCCAAACAGATTAAAAAATTTCTGGCATTTCTGAATCCACCCAATGAAATTATTCCCATCAAACATTGATAGCTCCAATTTTGGTCTAGGTAGCACATAACTAGCATTTCCAAAAGGATTTTTAAAATAATTTCTAGTGTCCACATGTTCATCTCATCCCCCCTTAATCTCACTAGAACTACCCCTAGGATTTTCTTCTTGCAATTTTGGATTAACAGTTTGATGACCATTAAACCCCACAGGTTTAGAAGCTAATATCCCTGGTTCATTAGGATGAAAAGTATACTTCTCATGCTTACTAAGAACCGTAATCAAACATGGTTGTTTACCTTCATTCTTGTTATGTTTTCAAGCTACTGTTGGTTGATTCTTCACTGACTGAGGTGAATCTTTCTCCTCAGCTGCTTGATTAACTAGCTGTAGGATCCTCTGCAAATACCCCCTGTTTTCAGTCATCCCTTCTTCCAAGGTTTGAATTCTTCCTTCCAGCACCTCTTTCTGCCCAGCCCACCAAGATGGTAAGGTCTATTCCTTAACCTCCCCCATTTGTTCTGGTACCTCTGTGGTTCCAGCCTTCTGCATTTTTCTTGTCTTTCCCAGCGTGAAAATAGTTTTGGATCACTCAACTCATCTCTGATTACCAATTGTTATGAATTAGGATGAAGAATTTAGGTTTCAGAAAAGAATAGAAAGGAATTTAGGAGAAAATGATTTCATTCATTCATAAGAGATGATTCCAAAGAGAATTATCAGGTACAGTTTTATATATTTACAAGTACACAACTGGCATGTACTGAAATCTAACAAATTAACTAACTTATGCTGACTAATGCAGGTCTAAAAACATTTGGGCATCTCACCAATTTACCACCCGATGCCCACTATCCCTAGGCCCGTGTTTTGCCTCAGCAAACCCAACTCCTTCTCTACTCCAACCTCCACGGTAATTTGCTCCCCAATCTTCTCATTTTCTAACTCATCCTCGTTCAAAATCCCTAACTCATCCTCGTTCAAAATCCCTAACTGAGGTAATTTCCTTCCAATTTTCCCATTTACCCTTTTTCCCTTTTTCCAACCCTAATTCTTCTTCCATCATAACACTCCCAAATCGAACCAACGGAAACCTCATAATCTCCGAAGCTACAAGACTATGAATGGCCCAAGATTATATTCGATATTCCTCCCTAGATAACTTACCACTTTCATAAGCAGTTCAGAGCTGGTCCCAACCCTAACAATTTTCTCAAAGGCGTCAAATAGTTCATTGCCCCCTTTAACCCCTACTTGTATTTTTTCCGTCTTTTTTTTTTTGAGTTTTACGGTTTGGTCTTCGCAGGTCTCCTGACGGCTCTTGTTTTCTCACCAGTTCGGAGGATAATACTCTTCGCCTTTTCTCCTTGTAATTTCTTCTATTACTTCGTGTGTGTGTTGCTTATTTTCTATGATTTATTTCTTAGGGATTTTCATTATTTTGTGCCTTCAAAAATTGTCATTAGGTCGGATTATGGAAGCAGTGACCAAACTACTTCTTATTCTTCAGTCTCTGAAGAAGGTAATTTCTTATATACTAGGTACAACATGTTTTGTTGGAGAAACCACTGGGACTCTTTTGAGATTAGTTTAACTTTGTGGTTTGCTTATTTACGTTTAGATTCCTATGCCGCGCAACTTGTTGTGAGTGAAGGGGAATCTGTGTATGATTTCTGTTGGTATCCATTCATGTCATCTTCAGGTGTTTCTTTTTCTTTACATTTTCTTCAATAATGCTGTTAGGTTTTACTTTGATTTGTGGTTAAACTTTAGTCCTTTGTGCCTGCTGCAATGTTGTTCGATATAGACCCTGTTTCCTGTGTGTTTGCTACCTGTACTCTTGACCATCCAATTCATCTTTGGGATGCTACTTCTGGCCTGGTAATCATTCATTTTGGTCCCATTTTGCTTTCAGAATGGGATAAATAATCTTTCATTATGGACTTTAATAGAACTTGAGTATTACACTGTATTGCAACAAGCAGACAGGGTTTGTTAACCATTTGCATTTGCTAAATTTGGTGTCGTACAGTTGCGTTTTACATACCGAGCTTATGATGCCGTGGATGAAATCACTGCTGCATTTTCAGTTTTGTTTAATCCTGCAGGGACTAAGTAAGCATCATAATTTGCTGCATGTCCTTTTTGTTGAATCATGTATTTATGTTTTGAGCTTGAAAATATTCTCTTGAGATATCAAAAAAATATCAATTTGAAACCTATATTGCCTCATGTATAAAATTTGAAACCTATATTGCCTCATGTATAAAATTTGAAACCTATATTACCACATGTACCATTTCATTTCCTTTGGGGAATGCTCCGCTTACACTTTCAAAGAACTTCAATTGAACATAGGCACTTTCATTGGCTTCCACTGACATTGCTTTATTTCTTCTTTATTCTGGCAGGTTATTCGCTGGGTACAACTAGTCTGTTAGAGTGTTTGATGTACACCTCCCTGGCTGTGATTTTGCACAATATTCAACACTACAGGGAAACAAAGAAGGTCAAACAGGTAATTTTTATACTGAGCTAGTTAATAATCCTACTGAAGCTCAAGCATATTTGTGATGATATTACTATTTGATTACAGGTATTATATCATCAATTGCTTTTTGTCCTACTCACACTGGAATGCTAGCAACGGGATCCTACAGTCAGACTACTGCAATATATAGGGAAGATAATATGGAGCTCTTATATGTTTTACATGGCCAAGGAGGTGGTGTAACACATGTAAGTGAGCATTTATTCGCATTCACTTGATTTTATTTATTTTATCAGCAAGGCAAGGCAAAGTTTTTTTCCACCTTTATTTCAGGTGCAATTTTCAAAAGATGGGAATTATCTATATACCGGAGCCCAGAAGGTAACATTCTCTTCATATTCCTCTTTCCATATATAACCAACTTAACAAAAGACAGATTCTGTTTGCTCTTTTCTGTTTCCAACGATACAATCATTGTTTTATGCCACATCAACGTTGACTCACCAGATGCCAGAAATGTTTGTGCCAACTAGAGTTTATCCCTTTGTTATGAACTTAGTTAAAGGATCTAAAATGCCTTTTGTTTTACTTTACTTTTTATAATAATAACTTAATAATGCTAACTTGTGGATTAATTAAATAATTTTCACGTTTTGATCAAATCTATAAAATGGTGGTTGTATTTCAAATCAATCTATATGTCTAAACAACCACACTTGTAAGCAGAGTCCTTTCCTTGACCAATTTCACAAATGTTCCCCAGATAGTATTATAATTGGTTATGGTATATGTCAATTGGTGAGAGTACATGGCAATGGCATCACCTTTGTCTGTATTTTACAAATTACTCTTCATTTCTGTATTCAATTCTGATTTTCCATTTTGAGGAAATTTACTCTCTTCTTTTGCATATCCGCCTAACATTGACAGTGTCCGTTATCAAATTTATTCTTTAGGATCCTTCTATCATGTGCTGGGAAATAAGGATTGAAGTTGTCTACAAGTAAGTAATTTAAATTTATGGATGGTGCTGGATATATTTTTTTTTTAATTTATGTCTTGAAAAAGAAAAGTATAAAGGTTCAAGCAATGGAAGTAAAATATATTCGTTGGAGCACCCCCTAAGTTTCTCAGAAACAGTACGAACACTTTGGATTTTAATGCCAATGAGCTTGTTTGGCTTCAAAAAACTACAATAAGAAGTGGATATACCTACTTTCTTATGTGATTTGTAATTTTCTTGACTGGAAGTTTTAATTTACCTTGCCCAATGATAGTGACAAAATTAAAATGTCTATTTTTTTACACCTTGTTTGTAGGTTTTACAGATCATCTGAATCTACCAACCAACAATAGCTTTTGATATTGATTGCTCAGGTCAGCATCTTAGTACAGGTGGCCAGGTAAAATTTTGTTTTTTATACATCACTTTTGATCTAATGTTAATGCATGATTTATATTGTGTTGATTTCTCTGAAAATTATTTCCAGGATGGTCTTGTTCATATTTATGATTTACAAACCGGGCAATGGGTATCAGGATTTCAGGCTGCAGCTGGTTTGACATTCTATATTTCTTTCAGAAGGAAGTGATTCATTTTTGCTTATCTTGGCAATGATCTGTTCCTCAGTAGGATTAATATAATCTACAGATACCGTCAATGGTTTCTCTTTCCATCCTTTCCTGCCAATGGCTGTCTCTTCATCAGGCCACCGAAGATTTCAAAATCTTGAGGATGACACAGAGGATGAGGATTTGCACTTGAGAGGTACTTCCAGTTATATCAATAACTACTATCCAATTCACTCTCTTACTAGTTTCGAATTATGATTTTTATTGTTACTTGTTTCATTTCACTAATACCTATGCATTGCGGCAATGAGTATATAAAGTGCTGTTTTTCATAAATGCAAACAATATCTGTCAATGATTTCATCCTGTGCATGTAGGTGACGAGAATTGTGCTTCTGTGTGGAATTTCTCGTACGATGTTACTTCTGGACAACAATCTTGAATGTGGGTCATATCGATACTCCACGGGAACATCAGAAAATTATCCCCATTCTGTAAAAAAGAATTCTTTCCTCAGTTTCATTTTCGTAATTATAGTACTTTTTGTCATATTCTTGAGAATGATAAAGTCGATTAAGAAAAATTCTCTTCACCCCAAAACTTTATGCTCATATTATAATATGGGTAAAGTATAGTTGTAGACACTAAGTTTTTGCCCCCATTATCCTTATTATTATTATTATTATTATTTTATAATAATTACAAATATTATTACAGGCCTAGTTACAAGGCTTGCTGGAGGCTCGTTTACAAACTCGACCTAAATATAACAAAACCAACCTGGTTCAGGCCCAGACCCGATTCAAGCCCAGATGACCCAAACCTAATTAGGGTTTTCACATCTCATCTTAGTCGCTAGCATCTACAACCGTTGGATCTGGAGAGATCCAACGGTCCAAATCCAATCTAGCATAAACTCTAGGGTTTACCAACCCTAGAGTTATTTCGGCCACTGCCTCCAGATGGTTCACTCCGACGTTGCCACGCCACCACCGTTGCACAGAAGACTCCAGAAGATGTAAACCAGCCGCACACCTCACTCCCTATGGTGAGTCACCATCATATATCTGGTATCTCATCAAAATGAACGGTTGTCCGAGGCCTTCCGAGGCCTATAAAAAGGCCATCGAACCTGCAAAGCAAATCTGGTGACTCACCAAAATGAACGGTTGTCCGAAGCCTATAAAAAGGCCATTGAACTTGCAAAGCAAATCAGGAGGAGGAAGCAAAGGAAATACAGAGAGAACACCACATAGCAACTAAAGCAAGCCGAAAGCAAGAAAGAAAGGAGAAGAGATCTTACCTCCGTCGAAGCTCAAACGTCATCGGAAAAGTGATTTTACCGAAGGTAAAATCTCAGATCTAGTCCGATTGACTAGCTTTTAGCAAAAAAGAAGCTCGGATTCGGGTAGAGGGTTAATAGAACTACATTTTGAGCTATTTTGATTTTTTCCGGTGGCCGGAATAGTAACCGACGGTGGCTGGTGAT